AAACATGACTGTGGGCAGTTTTGCACATTTATTTCATAATCTGATCTTTTACATGATTTTTTGTTTGGTTTCTGATTTTGTCTGATCCTATGAATATGCCAACACTTAAAACAAGCAAAGTTATTTTTGAAGGTTGAAATGTACAAGGTGTTACTGACTTTAAGCATTTCTTTTGCTATTATTAAGAGGAGAACTTAAATAATAGATGTTATTGATATATTGATGCTCTATTGGCTTAGTGTGAAAAAAAAACTTGATCTTCAGCTTCAAGGAGCAGCCTTTAAATAATAAAAAAAAACAAACATTATATTTACTAATCAGATGATGCAGAATCTTAAAGAACCTTCCTTGCTCTCCTCATCACCTGTGGATGCTGCTGTTCCCTGCCTGAGGTCCTCGGCTGTTCAGTGCATCACTTCCAACACAGAGAAGGGCAGCGGTACCAATAGAACCCCACCTGCCTATCAGATGGTTTCCCAGAACCGAAAGACGACCGTTGAACTCCAGCTTTCTATAGTATAAGGGCAGTACTAGTATCTAGTGACAAAACAACATTTTTTCATTCACTTTAATGTTCTTTATATAATCCATTGATTTTGCTTTTTGTTGTGTTTTTTCTGTTGCAGAATGAAGTCCAATCCTTTCTGGGTGTGCCGGGGTGTGAGACTGTGGGCGCCTTCCACGATTGGTGGACCAAATTACAGCTGAAACGCCACACTGAGGCCTCGCAGGCCTGTCGGGGTTTCCTACATCTGGACACACACAGAAACTGATTTGACGTAGATAGGTCTCGCTATAGAGAAACTGATACGATTAGATCTTATTACTATTAGTACATTTTACTTAGAGAGCATTTTTACTTGTTTCCTCATCATAGTTAATTCATATCAGTATATTTTGACTGTGCTGCCCTTGATCCTGATTTATTGCATTGGTTTGCTGTTTTATGAATGTGTTCATTGTTCTGTGCCTTGTCTTCAGTCCATATAATCAGCTACCCTCCTCTTTCTCCTCAGACGCTGCACAGACTTTTTTAGAAACTCTTCTCGGATGTAATGGTAAAGCGTCTCCTTTCAGCGCTGAAAGTTAATAAAATAAGTAAAGTCTGAATGCTTTTTTTGGTTATTTTTATGCTCCGTGTGTCAATACAAATTATGATTCATCGATTGAGATTCTCGTTCTCAACAAAATACAAATACAAAATTGTATTTGTAAAGACAAACTTTGAAAAATAGATGGCATTTTCCTTCCACTTTGCAGTCATGCACTACTGTATTTGCCTACCACAAGCAACATATTGATCTTTGTATTTGCAATATGACAAAACAGATGTGTGAAGGCTTTTACAAGGCAGTGTAATTCATTTCAGGTTTAATTTTATTAAAACATGAAAGAGAATCTCAGAAGAAGCCTCTCCTATCAATGTAGAAATTTTTCATTATCAGGACTAGTTTCATTTATCTTGCTAAAATTGCGCAAATTGGAATTAGGAAAATAAATGTATTTAATGGAAACGCTTGTCATGAAAAAAAAAACACGTTTCTTTGACAAAAGGCTTTTGTGCTGGAATGAGGTGATTTTTCAGCCATATAAATTTGTGTATTTTGCAAAACTGCAATGGAAACACTTTTGCACATCACACAAGTCACGTGATCAACAGCCAGGTGGAAAAGACGTAGAAGTCGACAGGAAGTGGTAGGAGGATGACGGCATGTTTTTCAATGACTTGTCAGATGAACAAATCATTAAACTGTGTAATTTTACTCAATGGAAACACCACAATGGCAAAATCATGTTTTCTTTGTATTACTGGAATATCAACAAGGTTTTAGAAACTCAGATAGTGTGATATCTGTATTTGTTCTACTTGTAATACACAACGAGGTCAAAGGGCTCTTAAACTCACTGGACCAACAAAAGCTGCTCCCATGGCGAAGGTGCCGATGATGATGGACAGAATGAGCCTCGTTCTCTGAAAGCGGAGAACAGCTTTGACCAGGGACGCCTTCTCCAGGCCTTTCTTCACCATCTCCTCCTCCCAGAATCTCTGCAACCTGCAAGACAGTAATATTTTGGCTGGTTTCCCACTCCATCACCAGTAAAAACTGTTTAATAGGCCATTAGCCTTAAAATGGGGGCAATCTTACCAGCCTCTACAGCATACACTATATGACCAACAATTTTAAATATTTTTCTTCTTTTTGCACTTTTATATTTAGCACTTTGTAAACTTCATAAATATAGCTGGTGATCCTCTAGTCTACCTAAAAGGACATGTTGCCAGTATTTCACAGCTTCCAGAAGTGGAGATGAGGTGACCTCCTGGTCAAAGGAACTGGCTTCGGCCCCACAGGTGAGATTTACTGATCACAGTGAGATTCAAGGTCACCATACGATGCAAGAACAGTAAGTAAACCTTTTATCCCCTAGTATCCATCCTTTTGAGGGTGCCTTCAGTACTGGACTCAAGACAAAACCTCCAGTTTCAAAGCTTAGCAACCTGGCTAAGGCGTTCTTTTGCTACAATCCATGTTATAAGAGCATCCAATATCATAAACATACATGAGCAAAAGCAAAAGCCACTCACCTCTCTCCGCTGGTGTCAGCTACGTCAAATGGGGAGAGGCTAAGAGAGGACAAGTCCAGCCTGTTCCTGAATATGGCCCACATCATGGGAGTCATCCAGGCAAAGGTGGTAAATGACAAGAAGCCTGCATTGTCCACAGGGTGGGATCTGCACAGAGGGAACGGCATTTAAATATCCACATACATGGGTCTTACTTTAACAAATGTTCATCACTCTTTACAGCCACTGACTTCAATGTGTTGTATTGGGATTTTTATGTTGGACTGATGCAAAGAGCTCCATGACTGTGAAATGGAAGTATAACATGCATTTGATTTAAAGTCAATCGCATCTACACCCAGTGGAATACATTGAAGTTGGTGGGTTCAATATGTCAAAATGTAAAGCGCTTCATGTTGCCAGTGAAACTGACTGTGGGGAAGACCAGCGGAAGGGCTTGAGAGTCTGCAGGCTGGGCTGGTATTTCCCAAACAGGGAGGGGTGGGACACCCTGCTGCTAGGAACATCGGTGTGATCTGGGCTGGCAAATTCAGATCCAGTTCTCCATCGGACACCATCATCTGTCTGAGGTGTAAAGTTTGCAAGAAGATGCAAAGAGAAAGAGGAAGAGTTATATGACATTCCAGCTAATGAGTCTCAGACACAAACAACTGTGCAAGAAAAACACAGGATGCAAGCGAGACAATGGGAGGGGAGCAGATCTGAAGGGACGAAACGGAAAGTGTCAGACTGTAAAGTCATGGTTACTGTTTGTTCTGCCCACTTCAAAAGATGTCCGTCGATTCCTGCTCTGCTCTGTGGAATAATCTTTCATTGTGTCCTGTACAACAAACAGAATGAAAACTGGATGAGTTTCTTAGTCGAGAAATGTCAATAAAATTCTTCAGACGTTTAAACAGAATCAAACTTCAGCGAGTCATGGCGTCTCCTGCTCCATTTTAAACCTTTTGAGCGTTTTAACAGGAACAGTAATGATAAACATGCAGAAGAGCAGAAGACTTACGGATACATAACCTGTGTTGCTTCATGACACTTGAAACTACAGAGTCAATGAATTACAGGAGCTGCTTCCCACTGTGTCAAAGTTCTGGGAAATGACTCCAAACACACAGTCACGTTTACTCTGCCCTTCGTCATGGCTGTGAAATTTATGCAGAGCAGAAAAGGCAGAACTCAATCTCATTAATATGAGGGCTTAAAGAGTTCAACAGTAGAATCATGACCACAGGTCTAATAGCAAGAATACAAGGTCCTCACTTTGCCAACAAAACGGTGCTTAGAGGTTTCTCATCTTAAGGTGTCATGGTGCTTCTAGTACAAAGACTGTTTAGATCCATTGTGGTTTGTTCATTGCACTTCATGGAGCGTACTGTACTTTAACTTTGGCCCTCCTCTACTTACTGCTTCACACACTGCCATGCTGTGGAAACTTACCCTAACTAACTAACTAACTCACTCAGTGGTTGTCAAATATTTTCTGGGCCGCCCTATAGATTACAGTAAAATCCCCCCCAAAAAGAAAAACAAAAAAACTGGGCACACACATCATTCAGACATAAACCTATACATATTTTGTTTTTAAACTCCACTGAAGTTTATTTCACACTTCAGGTTGGAACAAAACACACTACAAACCATCGTAACAGTGAAACATTTGTGTAACTGTTATTTTTTCTATCCATACTGCAATGGCACTGTGACCCCCATAGGGGGCATTCACCGTACTTTGGGAATCACTGAACTAACCAACTACCTGATTGCAGTCTGGTGACCCAAGCAGATAGTGCAACTAATAAGCCTGTCCAGTGGTATACTTAATTTTGTTACCTGAGTCAAAGTACTGACCCTACCAGATAAATATCAAGTTTTTAATGTAATTTACTTGATTAGCAGAGTGCAGATTAAGCAACATGACCACAATTCATTAGAGTGTAAATATGCAGGAAAAAACAGATATTTAGCTATATTTCATCCTAAGACAAGCAGACAAAACACCTCACCAAACAATTCACAGAACTGAACATAGAACAGGTAGTAAAGATAAATTAAAAAACCCCCACCAAAAACAGAAAACATTTACACAAGGAATAACTAACAGAAACAGAATAAAAACAAGATATTACTCCAGTAAAAGTAATTCTGTCAAATTGTTACTTATGTTAAAGTAGTGGAGTAAGTGCTTTTAATACTAAAGTATTTAAAGTACTTACACGTTTGAAGTTAAGACAATGCCTTTTACTGGAGCGCCCCTATGCCTATGCATATAGTGCATACCCACTTTTTGTGCCACTGTTGCAAACTGCAGTAAAGGAAGGAGTGTTGTGTGTAATTTAACTGTATGTCGGTGGAACAAAATAGACACAAACTACACAAACAAGAGCAACAGAAGTTAAGAAGAAGCATTTAGAGAAACGTACTGAAGGAAAAAACATGATTTCGTTTTTAAAATAAACTGAATTGAAAGTACTGTTTTTTAAAAGATTCCTAAAAAATTAAGTAAGATCAGATTTTTATATTTAAATTAAGCTTCACGGTTCATCTTTAACATGTTTGTTTTTTAACATGTTATGTACAGAAATGACCCTCTCGAAAGGTAGAAAGCTTTATCTCGAAAGATAAAGCTTTTATGGAACTACTAATTGACATTTATTTCTAATTTCCATTTCTCTGCTACTGTCAAAGTTCAAGTGTCTGGAGAATCAGACAATAACTGATAAAGGTTTTTATTGTGTCATTTTACATCTAAGTTCGGTTTAATTGCATTGGCACTGTATTCAAGAACATTGTTTAGGTCATAAAACCTAAACTGTTGTGAAACACCTAATTGGACTTTTTCTGTTCACTTCCATCAGTTTTGTTTAATCAAAATGCAGCACAGGATAAAACCATCCCCGTGTTTAAAAGACGGCTGATCAGACACATACGTGTATTCTCTTTTGATGATGAACTCTCCAAATGGTGATAGCACAATTAAAATGTCATTAGGATGTATTTAAGCACCCCTGTGGTATGTGAAATCAATGCGTTGTGGGTGGTAACTTGTTGGTTGTCTTTAAAATTCCTGAAGCAGGACATTTAAACCTCCTTTTTTATCACTCTAGAATTTCCTCTTAAAGTTTCAGAACTGGTTAAAGCTCCACGGGTAAGATACTGACAACTCAAAATCACTCCACAAATCCTGGGAAATGGCAACAAGCTGAATTAAACCGAGAGTCTTTTTAAACTCACAGCGCTAATAACCAACAGTGCAGGCTACACGACTGCTATCTGATAATATTGGTTCAGAAAAGAAAATTCACTCACTTTGAAAATACAAGGAGCTGTAAAACAAATGTCCTGCTAAAACAATACGCATACAACCAAAATTTGTATGCGCAGAGTTATCAAACTAAAAGTAGATAATCAAATTTTATTGCAGTTAAGTTTTAGATCTAAACACAATTAAAACCCTGTTTTTTATACAATTTATACTATTAATAAAAATTCCACTGATACATTATGTTTTTACTTGCATAAGGCAAACGGAAGTGTAAAAACAAATAAAAAACCCACACAATTTAAAAGACTAAATAAACTGACTAATCCTGATCAAAACTGATCAGGTGTAAATAATGTAAGAGAGAAGTGTTGGCATAAACAGAAGAGTACCTCAGAGTGGACGGAGCGGAGCTTCGGCAGCTTGTTAACTCGGACTCTGAGGAACCGGGAGAATGTCCCTCTGGCTCACTTTTTATGATTATACTGATTACATGATAATAAAAAAGAAAAGTGTGGACATCCTGATAAAGTGTAGAAATAAGGTACCACACACCTTATTGTGAAGCGAACTGTTTATTGTTCACTGATTCAGATTTGAGTGTCTGGAGTTCATGTGGCAATCTGTTTGTGGAATCACAAGAGTATCTGCAGGAAAATGTTTCTGGTGACATTTTTTAATATCATAAATCATAAATAATGCATCTTTCTTTAAAAAATAAATAGACATAGAGAAAATCCGTTATACTTTAAGAGGCTCTTCTATGAGATTTTTGGGTCTGTGGAGCCCCTTGTTAAGAACCCTTAGAAAGATTAATTTCCCTAATATTCCAGACTGATAAGGTGGTATGCTTGTAGCTGGTGTTTATTTTTCTTCTTCTTCTTATCTATATCTATTTTACTTTCACTCTTTTTCTTGAGTTAAACTTGATAGAAGTATCCCCTGGCACCTGAATTTTTATATATTTTTTTTATTTTTATTTTTTTTTATGTATGTCTTTGTCTGCTAACACGGTATTCTTATTCTGACTTTATCCATTTCATATATCTCATGTAGATGTATGTGTGTGTAATTGGGTGTGTTCTAGCCCAATTATGTTTGTATGTTAATGGTACAATGTTAACTATGTAACAACTGCACTGCCTTTACACTGTACCTCATGTTAAAGCATAAATCTTTGAAAATAAATAAATAAATAAATTTTGGTAAAACATAACTCCTAATGCTTTCAGCAAATGTTAGTGTATTTTTTTTTTTTTTTGAAAAAGTAAGGCTCCCATTGTACTGCTCTACATAATTACCTTTGAATGGCATTAAAATGTTAACTGATGCTTCCAAGTCAGCATACCTAGGTGAGTCCCATATGGGGAAAAAAAGAGGACAAACAATATGGGCACCAAAAGGGTTTGTCTGCAGTTTCCATGTAGGGCCCTACATGGTTTGCTTACATAAAATTATTATTTCTCTGAATATTTGAGTGTGAATTAAAATCCTTAGTACGAAGGTTGAAAAACTTCTAGAAATAAACAATTACCCACTTTCTTTATTTTTTTTATTTCGGATTGTGAATGAGAACCACATGTGCGAAGCTTATATCATCAGTCGGACTGAATTTCGCTGTCCATGACGTTCAACTATTGTACTATAACAGTGAGCCTGGTTAATCATAGTACTATGGTGATGGACTTGACAAAAGTTTCAATCATTGCACTTTGGTGATGAAGCGTGTCAGTACTGCATGGATGTGCTCCTGAGAGCAAGCCAAGCTGTGTGAGCTGTAGCTAGAACACTGGGTCCAAAGTGACAGGTACACTTCTGCAGGCCCCATTTAGATTTCTTCAGGAATTTTCTAGTTTATTAAAGTTATTCCACTTTAAAGCATATGTGTTGGTTCAACTTAATTTATTAAGGTTATCCCACTTTAAAGAAAATGTATTGGGTCAACATAACTTCTGAGGTTGATTCAACTAGCGCCTTCATTTATTATTAGATATATCTATTAAATACAACTTAAAATAAAGATTAGAAAACTGATGTTTGATAAATTCTCCATACACAACAGTTTAGTTTCTGTTAGTTCTGTCAAGATGCAAGAAGGGGCAAATTTCTACTTATATTGGTCAATCGTTTTGTTTTAAATATGCTGTAGGAGCCGTAGTTTGACGACTTAAATATCACGTTTTGCGAACAGAGGGGATTAGCTCAGTTTTTGTCGCTTGTTTAACTTTTAGGAATTGCAGCGGCTGCAGTGCGCCACAATAAAGGTACAATAAAGGTGATAAACAGGTGAAAAACCAAACTAGACAGAACCACTTCTGATTGTTTGCCAAGCCAAACATCCAATAAAAGTTCCACCATGCCACTAAGGCACTGGGGTCATGTTTCTGGACACAGGCAAAAGAAGGTTCAATGTCCAAACTTATTGATTGTTCTCTGTGATTTATTTTCCTCTTTCACCAAACAATTACAGAGATCAAACTTTCATTTGTTCTCATGCTATCACTCTTGCTCTGGTAAACCATCAGCCCCAAACCCAAATGCCTGCTGGTCCTTCAGGCCCCTGCACTTATAGAAAGTGGACTGACCCACATTACTTCGTGTCTAAATTTAGAAAATAAATAATAAAAATAATAAAACAAAAAATAAATAAAATCAACAATTATCAAACTACAAAATAAACTGTAAATAATACAAAAAATAGAAATTTAAGAATAAAGTAAAATTCAAATGGATAAAGAAATAAAGAAAAAATAGCTCGAACAACTTCTATTCCGCCTTTTCTCGCTCTGTATGTCGGTATTACGCACGACCCGTTGCCATGGCAACCGACAAACAACAGCTCAACGAGCAGATAGAGCAGAGATTACCGATCAAGGGAATCAACATCAAAAACAAAGTAGTAAAAACACTAAAACAGAACATCCAGTCTGTTACATTATGCTGTCAGGCTTAATGTCTATATTGTGATTATTAATAAGTTTTCGCCTGAACACCGCGGTGGTTGATTAACTGATTTAAACAGCTGCTCTACTGATGACATGGTGGGCGGGTTGTTTAGTGCTAACGGAACCAAAACACACCGAACTGCGCAGCACATCCTAAGGTTATCAGTCAGTAGCAGGCTAACAACAGTTAGGCTAGTATAACTGACCCACTGCCCACTTGTTCAATGTTTTCTTTAAATTAAAACGTTTTCCTCATCTGTGAAATCTGAAGCCATTATTACCATTATCTATGGTTGAATTAACTGCTAAACATTGCGTCCGTTGTTATGATTCTTTGCGTGATTGTAGTAGTTTCCTGACCACCGATATTCCTGACTCAATGGACAGCAATGGCGCATGTGTGACTTACGATAAATCACGTAATGTCCAGTCCAGTAATATATATCAATGCTGCTGGCGCTCTGTCCTTCTCTCGCACTTCCCGCTACTTCCCGGTCATCTGCTCCAACAATTTATTACCCTTTAGGAAATATGTTTGGACACCAGGAGCAGGAACATCACAACATCCTTATATCAAACATTTTTCATCCTTATATCAGTGATTTAAAACTATTTCTAATTTCTGATACCATACGGCAGGCTGCAAAGTTGTGCATGACTGTAAAAGTCAATTATTTTCTTCACCGATAGAAAAGTGCAATGTGTTTATTATGAGTAGGATTAACCGAGCTGAAGGAAAACAAAGGAGAAATAAATATTCAACGATACAGAACCGAATCAGCAAATATGAACTTATGAAACTATTGAAAACCTTCAAGAATCTTATGTTGTGTAAGAAAATAATTCTGAAACCACACACATGAATTTCTTTGACTTTTATCTCTAAAATGTTATTTTTTATGTTGAACACCAGACACATTTCACCTCTTTCCCACAGTTTTTCACTTAGTTCCACGACTGCAGTGGATTTTATAGTCAATGTTTAAAGCAGCACTGAGTCTGAACCGATGGAGGAAATTTACGTCAACATGGAACCTGTTGGACAAACTGCATCTAATCACACAGGTAAGAATAAAGTTACAGATAAATCTAGTATGTATCTAATTACATTTTGGTAAAGTTCAGGTTTTCGTTAAGGTTCGAACGGCTCCAAAGAGAGGCTCTGCCTCTGTGTGGCTTTGGGAATCCTGAATGTTTTACTTTTGGCTGAACTCATCGCCATCAGTGTACGCAGTGAGTCTTCTTCAAGATGAGTAAATTTTAATACAGTAAATTTTATGTTTCTGTGATAAAAATGTCATCGGCTCTTCTGAAATCAAACTGACCAAATAACAAGGGTTTGAAAAGTATAAAGCTTGGTGTCTCAAAGTGTTGCAGAGAGGTGAATCTGTGTTACGTGAGTTTGATTCATTTTGAGCAATGGATGCATTTGCAGCCATTTAGGTTAACATGTCTTTAATATCTCCTCTTTTTCACACTATCTACCCAACAATTTATTGTTTAGTGTTACCTCAGTTTAAATTCTACACCCATAACCAAAATCATAAAACAATTTTATAGGTTTTAAGTGAAAATTCGATGCGAGTTCTGTTTTGCAAACATGCTTGTTGATTTTTTTTTTCCCAGCTCATGACATGACAGCAGATTTTTCTGACATTAGTAACTTTCTGACTGAGCAGAACAGCGACAGCAAGTTTCCCTCCACGAACGCTAACTTCACTGAAACGACTCCACGAGCTGAAGACACTTCAAGGTTTGTCAAAACTTTGAAAAAATTTGGATCTCATTAAAATGTCTAAAACCTTTTCCCCTCTGAATTGTAGAGTATAACTAATAACTTTCCTTTTGTGGCTAAATGAATATAATGTAAATGACCAACTTTTATTTTAATTTATTAAGTACTGTATCATTTGTGTGCTCTAAAAACAACAATGTAAAAGAAGCAAAACTTTGTTGTTTTTTTCTTACAGAACGAACAAACATCAATTGCTCCTTTTAATCCAGGGACTGCAGAAGAAGAAGACAGGAGCAGATCCAGTAGAGATTTATGATTAGGATTTGTGTTCGGTGTGATATTATTTACCAACAATCATGTAGCTTATTAGTATGGTGTTACATAAAACCTAAAGATAAAATGTACACTTGTTGTGACTTATAAAGCAACAATTTTACCGGTTGTACTCCGTGTTTTTCTTTCTTGTTACAACTCTGACTTGATAAACAAACGGAGTTTGGTTGTGGTGAGGATCGGTTCAGCATGAGGCGTTCTGATTGTGTCTTAATGTGACTTTTACTACGAGACTTTATGGAACTCCAGTTGTGTCCAAATCAGTCACTACAGGGTAAAAGTAATTTGAAGATGGGGGAAGCATATAAACAAGTCAAGTCAATGACATAATGCAATCCACATTTTTAACTTGGATAACTTAACTTTTTCTTTTACTGACTTAAATAATACATTACAATTGCTGCACTGTTAAGTAGAATGGAAATGACTTTTTTGTAAATTGTCTTAAGATTACCTATTGTAAATT